TATATATATATATACAAGCCTTGAACAAGTTTCTTTATGAGGGCCTGAGAGACTCTTACAAGTGGGCAAATAGGAATGATTTGAAAATTGACGTCCCTGCTGGGTGGTGGTGACACTTGCCTTTAAAACCGGCCCTCGGGTGGCAGAGCCAGGCAGATCTTTGTGAATTTGAGGCCAGCCTGGTCTACAGAGTGAGTTCCAGGACAGGCTCCAAAGCTACACAGAGAAACCCTGTCTCAAAAAACAAACAAACAAACCAAACAAAAACAAAAAAAACAAACAAGAAAGAAAGAAAGAAAGAAAGAAAGAAAGAAAGAAAGAAAGAAAGAAAGAAAGAAAGAAAGAAAGAAAGAAGATCGACATCCCCAACCTCAGTATCATTGCTGAAACTGCTACTAGCATTCTAGACACAGGCATTTGCTTGATCAAGGTTGACCCCTTAGGTGACTTTGGAAGCATTGTAAGTTTGTCACAAAAGTGTTCATGGAGGCCAGCATTTTTGTGGCCTTTTATCCACACTGTTCTCAATTTGTTACTGCTTTTGGCTTCATAATTTCTGAAAGCATGTTTGACTGGTGTATGCAATGGATCTTTAGAGTATGATGTGGAGGTCTGAGGGGAACTTTGACCACCAGGTTCTGTGGACTGAACCGTGATTGCTATACTTGATCAGCAAGATCTTGATTTGCGTGTGCAGAGCCGTGTTGCTGGATCTCTTTGAATGTTTGAAACTCCTTTGGCAGGCTGTTGGATGCATCTCCATGACTGGACACTTGGATGATGGTTTCTATTCTGTCTATCTGGTGGCAGAGAAAATGTTTGTGGTCACCAGGCACAGTAATGGTGAGCAGCATGCCTGGGAGTCTGTTACTGGTAGATCCTACAAGTTGTGCTGACCATGTGAGTTGGCTACCTACATTATGGGGATTGGGGGAATTGTCTGGGTTAAGTAAGTCAGAAGTCTTGAGCATTTTGTTTTAAAGTGGTCTATCTTTGTTGAATATTTTAGCTGTAGTTTTAATTCCCTTTCTCATTATTATATTATGATTCGTCTCTCTATAGGTGAGCCCATCGGACAGAATACTAAAGTGAGCCTTCACCTAAAAGAAGACCTGAGAGAATGCAGAGCAGAGGAGGGTCAAGGAAGCTATGAAGAAACACTCACTGTTCATTAAGTTCTCCCTTCACCCTCTATGTGAGTATGGGCTTGGCAGTGGTTGGGTGGGTTGTTGTGTTGGCTCCTGGCCTCTGGCTTAGCTGGGTGTTGAGTTCTCCTCAACTCATTAAACTTGGTGGTTTATTTAGAGAAGAAACAAGAGAAGGAGATCAGAGAAGATGAGGCAGAGAAAGAGAAAGATGAGGAAGCAGGAGGAAGGTAAGAATCTGGAGTACGAGCATAAGAGTAAAGATGTGGGAGCAGATGAGGATGATGACAGTGGCAATGGTAAGAAAGGGAAAAGCAAAGAGACGAAGAAGAAACACATGCGTGGATCAGGCAGCGTTGACTAAGGCTGAGACCACTTGGACTGGAAAGGCTACTGACATCACAGGGGAGGAATATGGTAAATGCTGCCACCGTCTCCCCAATGATTGGCAAATCCATGTGGCAGTCCAAGTGCATGTTGTGTAAACTAGAAGGTGTACAGAATGTGCTGGAGGTGGTAGAGCACAACTTTCCCACTGTTTCATAGCTGAGAACTGAAAGCCATGGAACCACATGACATGATCCTCTGGGAATGACTGAGAGTGGCCTGTGCCTGGCAGTGGTTTCACCTGCCCCTCTGGGGGACCCCCCCTGCTCTGATGGTGGTGGTCATCATGGCCAGGCTTCTGATTGGAGGGACACTTCTTGCTAAGAGCATTTAGGTTGACTTGGTATTGGGCTGTTTTCTCTGGAGCAGCCCATAGTTTCTACTCTGTCCCTAGGGTTTCAGGAGTATGCCATTATTCCTGTGTCAGTTGTTTGATATTGGGGACTTGAGGCAATTTTGTCCTAAAATGCATTGCTGGGTTCTCTTTCAGCACTTCTCTGTAGGAAATCACTTGGGATTCAGGGCATTGTTCTTCATTCCTTGGCAAGCTCCCCTTGACCTTTCTAAAACCAAGAAGAAGAACATCAGACTGTGTGTCTGTCTTGTGTTCATCATGGGCAGCTGTGTTAAGGTGACACTTGAGTACCTCGATATCTCCTGGGTGTGATGTACGTACCAAAGGCAAAGTCTTTGTTAGCAGACCTTCAGCATACAGCTGAGACCGTCTTTAACCCACACAACTATAGTCCTTGGCTCTTAAGACCTTCACTTACTGTTTATTTTAATCTGGTGACCACACCAGGTCTGATCCAACTTTTTCCTGCATTGTCTGCTCTGCTTCATTGCAGACTTTACCTGTAGCATGGTTGATTTCAAGGACAACTCTGACAACTTGAGAATTGCTCCAGCAGAGCACGATCCTGAACATCATCACCAAAATCATTGTGAAGAAGAGCCTTGTGCTCCCCTCTGAGTTGGCAGAAGACAAAGAGAAGTAAAAGAAGTTCTCTGAAGTGATCCCCAAGAATTTGAGGTAAGATGGGCCAGTGCTTCCTCGCATGACCACTTCGTGTTTAGGGTGTTGTTTTCCAATCACAATTGGACTTGTTCTTTCCCTGCTGTTAATGCTTGAAATTGCTGAAGATTCCCCGGGCTGCATGCACCTGTGCCCCCTCCACCCCCACCCCAGCAGCAGCCAGCAGAAGGGCTGTTCTTCCTGACTCCTCTTTACAGCCCCTCAACGCCCTTGGAGGCCCCCTAGCCACACTGTGAGGTCCGGTAGCAGGCCAGGGTCCTGTGAGGAACCATGGAAGTGACACCTTCCCTATATGCCAGCCTGCTATGCCACACCCATCAGCCCCCACCATCTCAGACACAGCGATGACCATTGCCACTTAGTGGACCAAACTGGTGAGCATCTGAGGGCCCCTAGCACCTTCTAATTAGTTTTTTTAGTCTTGCGTTTGTCCCGAATTTCCTCACTCGGCTCACCCTCGCCATGTTTCCTTTTCTCATTTTTGAAATGAGAATGTATATTTTGTGCCATTTTATGTTGGAAGTATGTGATCTTCTATTTAATTTTGATATTGCTGGTTTTTACACTTCAGAGACTGCAAAAGTCTCAGAAGAGACCAGATTGTGGATGTTTGAGCCAGTGTTGCATGTGGTAGACCACGGAGACTTTTGAAGTTGGACTAAATGCATTTTTGTATTATGATCTGACTACAAGCCTGTTGGGGTACGGGGTAGAATGTGGTAGTTTGAATAAGTATGGCTCCCATAGACACATATATTTGAATGCATAGTCATTAGGTAGTAACACAGCTTAGAAAGATTAGGAGGTGTGGCCTTTCGAAAAAAGCATGTCATTGGGGGTTGGGCTCAAATGTTTCAGAAGCTAAGCCAGGCCCAGTGGCTCTCTCTTTTCTTGCTCCCCAAAGATCTGGACGTAGAACTCTCAACTAAATCTCCTGTACCATATCTACCTGTGTTCTACAGTGTGAAAAGAGACTAAACCTCTGAAACTTTAAACAAATCCCAATTCAGTGCTTTCCTTTATAAGATTTGCTGTGATCATAGTGTCTCTTCACAGCAATAAAACACTGATTAAAACATCACCCCATGTGGGCGGCCAGTAGTGAGCCTGGGGATTGGTTTTCTGCTTCGAATCCTCCCAGGTCAAGGATTCATTGAGAGAGGAGGAGACATGTGTGGAGTCGGCGCACTTTCGCTTGCATCGTCCTTCTCTACCTTTCCTTGGTCTATAGAGGATGGGTCCAGGGCTGTGGGCAGCTGCTGTGTGAGGGTCCAGAGACTGGGGCCACAGCAGGCTTGGATTGAAGCACAGGGAGCAGATTAACTCTGTGCATGTGCTGTTGATGCCTCCCGTGGCCCCTTACTGCTTTGGTAATGCCAGTGGCCCCAGCCCAGGTCTCAGGGCCCAATCGGATCATATTCTTGTGTATGCCACGTGCCTTTCCAGTTTGGGGGTCTAACTAGCAGAAGTAGCATCCCATTCTGAGTGCCCTTACTAACCAGCTATGCTGACATGGGAAGCAGACATGGAGCATGAGAGGTCTGGGGCATCAGACAGTTTTGAGGCTGGATTGAGCAGCTGAATGGTCCCCATTCCTGTGTTCCCACTTGTCCCACCTGGGGACCAAAGAAGTTGAGACCATTCACTGCCTGACTGCTGTCTACCTCGGCTGAGAGTTGTCTTTCTTTGTCACTGTTGCTGCTGTTTAAGCAATGTCTGTCCCAATCAGCAACTGCAACTCTGATACCAAAGTGGTTCTCCTCAAGGGCTGCAGCCTGAGGGGATTCTGTTCCCTCGGGCACTGACTCTTTAGGTCTTTGAAAGGAACTTATCTCAATCTCTGCCCCTCTAAAGAACTCAATGTTCAAAGGTGGATGTAGTGGGTAGCCATTCCAGCTTGGATCTGGAAGTTCCAACCCCCATTGAGATGACACACACCCAGAGCCATATATGACATATACATTACAACCAATTTCAACAAGGGACATTAAAAATATAAAGGAAGCAGTAGTTACGTATGGGATACACTCGACATACGTAAAACAGATGTTAAATTTGTGGTCTACCTCACATAAAATCATTCCAGACGACTGGCATCAGTTAATTTTAGCTGTTTGAGAATATAGCCAGCAGTTACAGTGGAAAAGCTGATTGAGAGAAGAGGCAAAAATTTAGAACAACAAGGTAAAATCAGAGGTTTTGTGATCTCCCAAGATCAAATACTTGGTGAGGGATGTTTCGCTGACAGGAATGTACAAGCCACTTATGATGAGCATACACTATCCCTATGCCATACAGCAGCTCTAAATGCTTGGGGAAAAATTCCAGAACCTGGGAAACCAACTGAGGTATACACAAAGATATTCCAGGGACCACACAAACCCTTCACTGATTTTTTTACAAAGACTGAACAGAGCTATAACAAGAGCTGTGTCAGATAAAGAATTAAGAAAAGTATTAACTGAGTCCTTGGCGTTCAACAATGCTAATACAGAATGCAAAAGAATACTTACACCATTAAAGATCAGATCAGCTCCTTTGGAAGAATGAATTCAGTATACTAATGGTGTTCAGTCTCTTAATTACAGTAATGAGGCTTGGATAGGAGAGACAAATCCCAGAGGTGAAAGAAGGCCCCAAGGTACCAAATGTTTTAAATGTGGTACACCAGGTCATGTAAGTAAAAACCATACATGGGGAACTCCTAGAAGTAATACTCCTTCTAGGAATAGCCTAAACAGGAGACCCCAACCACCTCCTGGATTATGTAGAAGATGTAGCAAAGGCCAACACTGGACCAGTGAGTGCAGATCAAAAATAGATATACAAGGCAACCCTTTACTGGTGGAAAAGGCCTCAGAGGGCCTCTTGCAGGCCCCCAAATCAAACGTAGTACGAACATTCCCAGCCACTGTGGAAGAAATTCCTCTCCAGGACAACTGAATAAACCAATTCCTAATGTAAAAAGCGATACTGCAATGGGTGATAAGAAAGCTTTGATAGATGGATCACAGTTTACAAAGAACACAATAAAACAAATATTTTGGCAGATTTCCATAAATGAATGAAGACCAAAGCTTAGAATTCGAATTAATGTCCTGGTTCTGGAGGGCCTGGTAGACACAGGTGCAGATGTGACTATAATTACACCAAAATCATGGCATCCCAATTGGCCTCTTCAAGAGGTAGATATCCAACTTTTAGGGATTGTCGCCCTATCTCAGATAAAACAGAGTTCGATGTCTGGAATGCATAGGGCCAGAAGGACAGAGAGGAAGGCTAAAGCCATATGTAGCAAATGTAATAGTAAATCTTTTGGGCCGAGATCTGTTACAACAGTGGAATACCCAGATTAAAATTCCTACACTTTCAGAAAAGGAATACAGA